GTAAGTATGCTATTATTTTGTAAATGCTTACTACTAAACACCAGGGGAATACTATTTGAAAGACGCTGCAAACACTAACCTATAAAACAATACAATGTGTTAACCCATCTTAAAGGTACCATACACAGCACTAGAAAGTCAAGGAAATAACACCATTTTCAATCTCATATTTCAAAATTTTCTCAGTCTACGGGAGGGGACACATCTCCCATACCCACCCCAATCACTTAAAATTACATCAATTATAATTTGATCACATAAAAAAGATGATGACCCCCACAAAATCTTCAAACACGCGCGATTTTCGTCTGTTGCATTGCTTTTCTTTTTGTCAATGTCTTCCACCCATATGTCAGCCTAACCCTACCCCCCCCCCCAGGTAACCCTGTTCTGTATCCGCCCCTGATATAGATGTGTAAATCATTTTGTCACGTAAATTTTTAGATAACTGTCATTTTTTCAGGATTCGACTGTCAGAAAACCCCAAATCTTTAAAAAATATATTTAATGCATTTTTAGTTTTCAGTTTAGCTAATTTTATCCTTTATCCAACTTGACTGAGATGCCAAACAGAATTTTTTTTAGTCACATAATATATTTAAATAATTTTTCAAACTCTTGTGAAGTTAAGATGGGTGGTGGAATAACACACATTTTGTCCGGTTCCTTGTAATACATGGAAATGCACTATTTGTCACTTTACAAAATCAATAAACATTGATGAGATTGGTATGATTAAAAATTACTTAAATTACGATTAATCATTTTCATAATTTTAAGTAAATTTACTATGTCATGGTACTAAAACGACCCGGTTGGATAATAAGTAGCTGGCAAATAACAACCGGTTACGTGTCAATCTGTTTGACACTTACCGCCTTGCCAAAATACCAATTGTGTAATATTATGTAATACATGGGTGATAAAATGTGATCTTTAACACCCTGTTGTTTTAATTATTTGAATTACTGATGAAAAGGTCACCTAATGATACCTTGAACAGAGGACTTTTGGTCGTTGAATTATAAGTCCTGCTTTTGTATATCTGTTATAAATATCAATTCACTTTTAAAGTACTAACCGCTTTAATTCATCCCAATATTTCTTTTTTCTGGGTGACATTACTTGAAATCACGCCTTTTTACCCATAACTTCATGAGCATTTTGTGAAAAATGGCTGTTTTCATTGAAAAGTCTATCGTTACAAGTTCAAATTGCTATAAAACTATAAAAACTGCTTCAATACTAATCAAACTTGGCACAAGTGTTGACTGGACCACTGCCTTTGCAACAACATGCTCAGGTTTAAATTTCCTGTTACCATGGCAACGAGGGGACATCTCAAAATTGCCAAAAAACACTATTTTCCGTTGATTTTTTCCCATCAAAATTGATTTCAAAGTGCGGCAACTTCTCAATGGGTTGAAATAGAGTCAAATGTTTTTCAGCATTGGTTACACGTTACCTTATGATCGATCTGGGGTCATTTTTTAGCCTCTCACAAGTCCAAAGTTTTCTTGGCGATTAGGGGGACTGCCACCCCTTCAAACCCCCCTGCACATCCCCCTTCTGGCAACCCCCTGATGTATCTTTTTGTTGGGGCCGCGCCGAAAAAGTGGTCACTTTTTGAAACAACATTTCTCAAACAAAAACAAGTGTTGGGGGCCTTAATAAGGTATTTTTCACCATTTGAGACAACAAAAAGGCGGGCGGGTGAAATAGGCGTTAAAAGGCCTGTATATCGCGTAATGGGTTAAAGACTTAAAGTGCGCTAAATGTATGCTATCGTTATTGCGCTTTTGCCCTACGCAGAATGCGCATGCGCGAAATTCAACATCTGTTGCTATGGGAAAATCGTAATGTAAAAAGGCCTATATGAAGATTTCTGTACGCCACGTGATGCTACATTGGATTTAATAGTGAAAGGAACAAGGTCGATAAACGGCATTAACCTTACGGTGACTAACATATCTCATTAAAGACCTACTTTCTATTGTCATGTCATTGTCATGGAACTTTATACGTTTCTATGGAAAAACTTGTAACTTATTAGAAATTAAAATATCCGTTGAAAACCTAAAGATAACATCAACCTCATTAAATTTAGATAAAGGAAGTACATACTATTCCTATTTTGCTGCAAATCATTGACATGTAATTTGTTTCAGCAGACCGATAGCATAATTACTAAATGTTCCCTAAAACTGCCAGGAATAATGTATACAAGAAAAAATCATGCTTGAATATTAAATTCAAAGCGTATTTTATCCTGTTAAAGTCACTGCTCTACATCAAGTATGTTTTCAGTCATTCAAATGAAATAAAAAACAAAACAAAAAACAAACAAACACAAAAACCTACAAAAATACAGGTAAGAAAAATATCTTTTGAACTGAAATACACTCTTACCCAACGTTATATAACCAAATTTCTGTGCAAATGATAATCGTACTATGCTTCATAATGATTTACACACTTATTGACTAAGAAAATACGCTTAAACGTGTCGTAATGAAGCACAAGATACACATTGACAGTAACAAAAGTTATCATAAGAACTCCAGGACATATTTTGAGTTATCACAAGAACTCCGTGACATTTGAAAAATCGGGTATAAATATATTAGCCTGGGCTTTATGTTTGCAACTCTGCATTATAATTAGGTAATTAAATAAAGCAACGAGGAAGATCACAAATGAAAATGTTAATATGTACGAATGAGCCAGTAATTTGAAAATTTTAAACAAAACTACCAGACTTTGTTAAGAAAGGCGATGAAAAATTGAATAAAATGTTTTTCTGAAACATAAAACAATTTTTAGGGCAAACTTAATTATCAAAGTTTAATTTAGCACCTCAAACTCCCCAATTTAAGGTAAAATGATCATTTTTCACTTAATTTCTTCAAGTATATAGAAAAGTTTTCCACAGTAATCCGCAAAATTTTCCAGAAACTCTGTGACAGTTATCATAAAACCTCCAAACAAGTTATCATAAGAACTCTATCCTTCGTGTAACAGTTCCTCCCCCGTGTTCATTGTCCCTTGTCATCAAGAGCTTTTATAATAAGTAGAGCCATTATGACTCTTGTTCAGTAACGTTTGTCTATTATGTCTAATATTTTCATAAACAGATAAATTGTTGGGTCAACATCTTTGCTAAACACTTATAAAGATCATCAAACATCGAAACTTTAATGATAAAGTTATTCATTTCCGCTTTTAGATACTTGTTCGTCAAAGTTCTCCAGATGTGAATATTCAGCAAACAATCGGCAAATTCAAAACATGTCCTCTTGATCTGGAAGAAGAGAGAAGGATCCAGAAAGAAATAGAAATGTGGAAGGACTATAAAAACGATGTTGACAGACTAAAACAGGAAATGACAGACGTGAAGAAAGACCTTGAAGACGTGAAAGAAAGTGGTACTGCTGTAAAGAGAGACCTTGAAGACATAAAGGAAAATGTAACTGATGTGAAGAAAGACCTTGAAGACGTAAAAGAAAGTGGTAATGCAGTGAAGAGAGGCCTTGAAGGCATAAAGGAAAATGTAACTGATGTAAAGAAGGACCTTGAAGACGTAAAAGAAAGTGGTAATGTAGTGAAGAGAGACCTTGAAGACATAAAGGAAAATGTAACTGATGTGAAGAAAGACCTTGAAGACGTAAAAGAAAATGATACTGCAGTGAAGAGAAACCTTGAAGACATAAAGGAAAATGTAACTGATGTGAAGAAAGAAGTTGATGAAATCAAAAGACGGCAAGAGGCAGGTTGGTTCTTTTAAGCATAAATATTTTATTGTTTATGAATTCTACAATAGAAAGGCTGAGAAAAGAATATACTAGAATACTAACAAATATTATGAAACTTTTTATGGATTAAAAGTGTTCCTGTCAACAGCAAAAATTCTATAAATCAATGTGATAACAATTAACTCATTTATTTTTTCGTAAATTGCTTTGACAAACTTCACAAATCTCCGCTTGTCGGTTTGATATCGTAGATAATTCCGTTTCCAGACCATTGCCATTGCCAGAAACGTCAACAATGTAACAGTGTTTAAGAAAAACGAAAATTGTTTCTTTCGAAGACTATAATCGATTCCTTCCACTTTGCGGTAGAAAATAAGTGTAAATCTACAATATTTCTAGGTTTTGAGTCACAAGCAACTACAAGAAAAACTGATTATGTGCCGCAGAAAATAATCTATTAATGTAACCGAAAATTCATAATATTTGTGTGTAATTTATCAAAAGATACATGCACATCAATCAATCCCGTGGATGATACGAGTGATAAATAACTATTTAATATTTTTAAAGATCATTCATCTTATTTTATATGGTTTAATATCATAAATATAATGCTTAAATGAAGATTTATCAATATTGTAAGTTCCAAAAAGCAATGTTTGTAAAGATATTACCGAATTTACATTTCATGTTTATAACAGGAGGTAATTAGAAATTTATTTTCTATAAAGTCTATGTCAATTTTTTCAATAAGAAATAAATGCATATATTTTAATGATTACATATAATGTGACAAGTATTTGCAGTACATATTTCTGGTTAAATTAACCCACGTATTAATCAGAAATAAAATGGCTATCGTTTGTACTCTTCGTCTCAACTTTTGTTAATTTTTGCTTCGAAATAGACTATAATCGGTTGTATATGATGGCAACAATATTTCTTTAAGTTGCGTAGTGACGGGAAGCGGAAACAAATTTTTCCAGAGCCGGAAGTAAACAGTTTTAAAAATCAGCTGTCAGTGTCGATAATTTGGATAAATCATTATACAAAATGTCATTTTAAACCGATTAAATGAAGGTCATACTGAGGATAGACTTGAAGGACAATTTATAAGTTAAATTACGAAGTCATGCTGGACCAATACGCAGCGGGAGATCCCTGGAAAGACAAACATGAGGCTGTATACTTTGTGATTGATCAGTAAATTTTATTTCGATCAACACACATGTGTGCGTTTTCGTGTTATTGTCAATAACAACATGAATTATTAAAGGTTTACAGACTGACAGGATATATCACCTTAGAGAATCCTCTTGCTGAACTTATCATTATGAAGAAGGCATGATAATGCATATAACTTTCTGTGTCACTGTCAGTTGTAGTCCAATTTATTAGACGTTACAGGCTTGTTAAAGTTTATGTCGGTTAAGCCTGACGTCTAATAGTTATTGCTCAAAAACGCATAGCATCATAAAAATTTTAAAAAATGTCCATTGTCTTGCCTTTCAAGCTTTATTCAATAGCTTATCTTCTTTTCTTTCAATTTCATGCTCAGTCATACACAAAAACTCTCAAACAATGTACTTATCAATTTAAAATAAAATATAAACATCAATCTATTTTTGTCTATCAGACATACTGGTTAAGCAAGGGGCTTTACAGATTGATTCCAAATTTTTGAACGGAAAAATATATTCGAACACACTGACGGTGCATGGGCAATTATTTCGTTAAAAAATATTCCGCTCAGTTAAACGCTTGCATTTGAATAAGCCAATCAGATTTCGCGCACTGTATGGCCGCCATTTGTTTATCGGCTGTAAAAGGAATTTTAATACGGGTCTGACTCTTTAAATACATGAGAGGATTTAATCATGATTTTTCGGATGTGACAGTTTAATTATTTTGACAAAAGGTATTTATTTTTTAGTTTTGTTCATAAATAGGTCAAAACTAATTTAAATACACGCCGTCTTAATTGTTTTTCGTTCCGCCTGATTTTCTGGCATCAAAGGTTGATAAAGGGCTTGTTTATTTCTAGCAACACTTAGAAATTGTATGGGCTGACTTATTACTTCCTAAAACTAAACCAATTTTAATAAATTCATGTTATAAACCTCCAAAACAATCTTATGTTGACTTTTTAAATATGTTTGAAACAGTTTTGTCTAAAATAAGATCGGACACTGAATGTTTTTTCTTGGGTGATCTAAATATTGATTGGTTGGACAAAACTTCTTCTGTATTTATGAAATATGAATGTGTTCTTAAAATCTTTAATTTAACACAGATTATAAAAGAACCTACTAGAATTACATTAAATACAAAAACGTTAATAGATCATATATTATGTAGTCATTCTGATAAGGTTTTTCAGTCAGGTACTTTACCTATTGGTCTTAGCGACCACCTGCCTGTATATTGTACAAGAAAATTACAAAAAGGCACTTTTAATAAACACAAAAATATTATTATTAGATCAATGAAAAACTACTCTGCTGAAATTTTTATACATAATCTTAAACTTTGTGACTGGTCGAGTATGTTTACGGCCAAATCTGTCGATGAGTCTTGGCTACTTTTTAAAGATATGTTTTTATCAGTTTTAAATGTAGTGGCTCCTGTAAAAGAAGTAAGACTTAAACAAAGGAGTGAACCTTGGTTAGACTCTAACATATTAGAATTAATTAATATGAGAGATTATTTTTTACAAGAATTTAGAAAACATAATCAGAAAGATATGTATAATAAATACTGTCTTTATAGAAATTTAATACAGAGACATATAAAAAAAGCTAAGTCTGGATACATCTCACATCAATTACAAGAAAATAAATATAATCCAAAGAAATTGTGGTCTCAATTAAAAGACCTTGGTTACAGTAAAAAAACCAAATCTTCACCAAATATTGTACTTAACATAGATGATGAAAATTGTTTTGAACCAACAAAAATTGCTTGTCATTTTAATCAGTTTTTTACTACTGTTGCTTCTGTTTTGGTGGATAAATTGCCAAATCCATTTAACCTTTTTTCTGTAGAATCAGACATCTTTAAAGAATTCTATAAGAACAGAAATCCAGATGGAAATAAATTTCAATTACATACTGTTAGTGAAGAATATATATATAAAGAGCTTTGTAAATTAAATTGTTCTAAAAGCACAGGATTAGATGAAATTCCAGCAAAATTTCTTAAAGATGCTGCACCATTTTTAAAGATACATATTACCTTTTTAGTGAATAATTCTATTACATCTAAATCAGTTCCAAATGAACTGAAATGTGCTAAAGTCAAACCATTATTCAAAAAGAATAACAGATCTGATGTTTCCAACTATAGACCTGTCAGTATTTTATCTATTGTTTCAAAAATCTTAGAAAGAACTGTATATAATCAGTTAGAAATTTTTTTAGTTAAGCAGGGACTATTATATGAATTACAAAGTGGTTTTAGATGTAATTATTCTACTGACTCCTGCCTAATCCATCTCACTGACCATGTAAAAAGTCAAACTTCCAAAGGACTGCTCACCGGTATGATTATGTTAGATTTACAAAAGGCGTTTGACACTGTGACCATGACATCTTGTGTAGAAAGTTACAAAAAATGGGTGTGGAGTCAGTAGAATGGTTTCAATCTTATTTAACTGGTCGTAGTCAAATTGTAAATGTAAATAATACTATGTCCGAAGCTATGAATATTACATGTGGTGTTCCTCAGGGAAGTATATTGGGTCCTCTATTGTTTCTATGTTATGTCAATGATATGAGTATTAGTATTAGCAAAAAATGTAAGCTTATTCTTTATGCAGATGATAGTGCAATTTTATATTCACATAAAGATCCAGATGTTATTTGTAATGTTTTGGGTAAGGAACTAGAAAATTGTAGTAAATGGCTTGTTGATAATAAGCTATCATTACATCTTGGTAAAACAGAATGTATTGTTTTTAGTTCTAAGAGGAAATTGTCAAAACTAGAGCAGTTTAAAATACACTGTAATAATCACACCATACAATCTCAGCCATCAGTAAAGTATCTCGGTTCTATCTTGGATAATGATCTCTCAGCCACTTCTATTGTTGATAATATAGTACAAAAAGTAAACTCTCGATTAAAATTTTTGTACAGACAAGGCAACAGTTTAAATATGGAGCTATGAAAACTATTATGTAACTCTTTAATACAGTGTCACTTCGATTATGCCAGCTCATCTTGGTATAGTGGCCTTACTAAACAACTTAAACATAAACTTCAAGTAGCACAAAACAAAGTTGTTCGTTATATTCATGGTTATTCCTCTAGAAAATCATTGAAAGTTATTGATTTTAGCAGTATTGGGTGGCTTAATATAGAAAAAAGAGTCATGCAGTTAAGACTTAATCATGTACACAAAATATTTAATAAAAAGTGTCCATCTTATATGTATGATAACTTTTCTTTAAAGTCTGATGTTCATTGTTATAATAGTAGAAACAGTGTCGGGAACTTTCATATACCCCATGTTAATAGTTTTACAAAAAGTACATTTTTTTACCAGGGTATTAGGGATTGGAACATGCTCCCACTTGATATTAAAAAGGAAAGTAACTTTTTTAACTTTAAAAAGAAAGTAAAAGCTGAACTAAGCAAAAATATGAAAACATTTGAACAAGCTGATTTTATTTTTTATTAGTTTTAGAGATAATTGTTTTAATCAATATAGTATGTTTTATATGTATCTTGTGATTGGTTTTTGTGATATATATAAATAGATATCTTTCATTTGGTGTGTTAACTAGTCATATTCATAGTATTATTCCTGCAAATATGTGATATATGTAATTAACATAATGTGCAATAGAAATTAATATTATTTGATCTTAGAAATTTAACATCAGTCCAGTATATCATCTCTAAGTATGGACCTGAATGCCAGTTCTCAAGAAAATATATTCTTTACCATCAAAGGACCCCATTGGAAATAAGTTCTCTATTTTATATTGAACTTTCATGGGTTATCCTGTGTTGTATATATTGTCTTGAAGTCAACAAGATCTTTGATTTAATTATGAATGTAAAGTTATTATTTTTCAACTAATTACTGTGTTAAAAACAATGTGATAGATATAACTGTGATAAATTGTCTTAATTTGTTTTTTTGTAATATGACATATATATATATACACAAATAAATCAATCAATCAAAAAAAAGCAGGGAAGAATAAACAATGTCATCTTCTGATGAAAATTAAACTGATTTTACTTAGTTCTTAAAGAAAGTTACAAGCTTTATGATCATGAATTCACACACAAGTATATATCATAAAGTTATTTTATCAACCTTTTAACTTTCAACTTGTAAAATGTCCCCAAATAGCCTAATTGTTTTGCCAATAAAGGTCTTTTTCAAATTAACTAAATTTAGGCTCATATATTTTATAAACACACTGACACATTCTTCAGAATTTAACTGAACAACAGGATATTTGTTCTCACTTATGAATTATTGAAAAGAGTGTTTTACTTTTCTAAGGATAGGAAGCTGCCTTAGGTCTGATTTAATGTGACACACTATAGTACTGAATGGGAAAAAGGCAATTCTTAACATAATTTTTTTCATTCTATATGTACTCAAACAGAAATACATTTTGTTTTTACAATTTCATGTCCATTTCTTTTATTATTATTATTTTGAATTAAACTGCTTTGACTCTAAAAATACTCTTTATATAATGTAAACAATGAAAGTAAACATTTATGATTGAACTCAGATGAATGAAAGCATTATTAAGCATTGCTACTCTTGATATTTCTTAGAGGGGAAGGAGGGGGAAGGAGGGGGTTAATAAATAAGCAATAAATAGAGGGAGAGAAAGAGAGATTTAGACCATTATTCCATTGTTAAATGAGGATGTATGTTATTAATTAAATAATTTATTCAGACTTTCAATGTAGATGAGAATATTTTACAAAATAATAATAATTGAACAATAGATAGAACTCTAAAAACATATTTGGACACTTTTTAATTTTCAACCAGTTAAAGACTATGCACTTAGTAACAGAAAGAGCATCGAAACACGAGGCTATCTGATTTATACGAAGGGGCGTAGCCCCCGAGTATTAATCAATTGCCGAGTGTTTTGATGTTCTTTCTATTACTAAGTGCATAGTCAAACATAAAAACACGTTCCCTGTTGTCACAATATGAAACCCCGGAGAAAAATAACCAATGATAGATCATCTGAATATGATATTTCTGTCGCTTTCCCTTTCTCTAACGTCACAATATGTAAACCCCAGCAAAAATGAGCCAATCAATGGGCATGCTCTAGAGTGCGAGTAACTAATACCTGTACTCCAGTTACCGCACTGTGCATGTATATATATACGATTTAACTCTGACACATTTTCAACAGAAAGGTCCCCAAACTATGATACAATTATATATTGTATCATAGTTTGGAGACCTTTCTGTTGAAAATGTGTCAGGGTTAAATCGTATACATATACATGCACAGTGCGTTAACTGGAGTGCGGGTATTAGTTACCCGCACTCCAGAGCATGCCCATTGATTGGCTCATTTTTGCTGGGGTTTACATATTGTGACGGCAGTGGAAGTGAAATCGACAGAAATGTCATATTTAGATGCTCGTTCATTGGTTCATTTTTGCCGGGGTTTCATATTGTAACAACAGGGAACGTGTTTTTATGTTTGACTATGATACAAAAGAGAAAGAACACCAAACACTCGGTAATCTGATTAATACTCGGGGGGCTACGCCCCCTCGTACAAATCAGATAACCTCGTGTTTCGGTGCTCGTTCTATTACCAATAATATGGTAAAATATCAGTAAAGCTCTTCTATCATAAAACATAGCTTTGTTAAATTGGTAAATGCAACAAGATTTCCAAAAGGTGACTGATCAATATGGTATTTAGTTACTGAAAGAGAAGTTTCATATATTATATAGTGAAACTACAGAGAGATGGGGCACAAATCGTTTAAAAATTACATCTGCTGTTAAACAAAATATTTTGGGTTCGAACGTTTCAGGTACGAATCTGATAGAAAATATATGCGTCAATACTTCTGCATCGTGTGGTTCTTGTATGAAATTAGTTACATTCTAACCATTTTTTGTCCCAGTTAACGGATGATTTTGATTTATAACATTATGTCAACGAATATTTGCTCATTTGCAGTGCATTTTAATTGTAAACAAAGCCCATAGCAACCATGCGGTTTCCCTAGTTACCGACAAGAACCGTCAGGAACCGACAATAACCTGAAGACGTAAAAATGGAAAAATACGAATTAATTTCACTACTTCATCATTTAATAATCACAATTCCTAATATTTTTACATGAAAAACATAATAAATTGAACCATGTTTATAGGCAAATATCTATACAGTACCGACAATATTCGTGGTATACTTTATTTAAATTTAATTCCCTTGACACCAGTTCCGAGGTCATAAACAAGTTCTTCCTACGTAAAAGTTGTATTTTGTACAATTGTTTAATGATGATATGTAATTAGTGCGATGACAATCAACATCTTAATAATTAGTGTGGTGACAATCAACATCTTAATTAATTAAAAATTTGAACCGATTTTGACTCTACTATCAAAATTTTCGATTGTAATAAAGATGGAAGCGTAAACCATGTGTCAATTCTGACATTTTTTCGCGAAAATACCATAACCGGATATAGAATGTATAGCATGTCGGGTTTAGTATTAACCATTTTGGTTTGTTAACCTTTTGGTTATCTCGGTTTATACAAGTGACTAACCAGATTGGTTAGTTAACCAAAGTTGGTTAAATCTAACCCATGGTTAGCGTTTAACCCAAGGTTAATTCAACCAACGTTTATACAATTGGGTGCATATATATAACTCCATTGTAATCAAGTCACCTACGGTCCTTGACGAGAATATATCAGTTGGTCATCACCACGTGGTCATTAATTCTTGTCCAAATTATTGTCTAATTAAAAACGTAATTTTAAATATATAATGAACAGGGATATAAAATTGTAATAAATTTCCTTTATGATTAAATAATATTAATTTACATTCAAGACTTTATTAAGAAGATAAACTAGTCTACCTCTTCTATGGTAAGCCTTAAAAAAGGTTAAGTTATAAGATAAGAATATAATCTTAACTTAAATCCTCCAGCGAATAAATCTAATATTACACTGGTTTATTAAATGCTTTTCAGAGGACAGTGAAATTATATTTTATGATTTCACAGTGAAATTATAAAATGTTATTTTCACAGAAGCAGGACAGTATCTGAACGCAAGTGAAAATAATAATGTTAAAATAAGTGGAAATACATGTATATGGTCAGGAATACTCGCCATCGTTAGTAAAGTATGCTTGATAACGAGAAGCTAACAAAAGGCTGCATATTTCACTGTTATATTGTAACACATAATCCGTTCAATTTTACAGAATTATTTTTCAACAAGAACAATGTGTCACATGTGTTGATGACGTCATTAATGACAATTTCTACATAACTCGATTAAATCCAGAACATATTCCAGAACATATTCTTCCCTTCTTACATTTGAATCATTTCTAACTTAATCACAGACACTTGGGGTTTGGAGCTCAAAACGCCTTTAAAATCCAAATAAAATGCATATTTGTCAATCCCAGCACATGTACTGATCATATATATAAAAAAACTTAATATAAGCCGTTTTGAAAAAAAATCATATTTCATCATCTATAATAATACACAAGATAAAAATGTTCGCTGGAAAAAATCCGAACCCCTACCGTCATAATCACCATGTATTTTATTCCACTTCCAATATTTTCACATAATCCTTTGGTCCATCGACACAGAAGATATAATTCTTCACGATGATGGTCAATTTTAAACTTCAACGGTAATATAAACAACGCAACATCCGAAATAAACATCAAGATTATCGCCGTTTTCTTCCATTTACAAAATCTTTCGATAAATTCAATGGACCAGTCGGCTATGAACGAAGCTATCCGATTTTGTGGCCCCAGCTTTGCCGTGTGCAAAATGCGCAGCGCTTTTAAGTTTGAGAACCACATAATCGGATGGCTTCGTTCATAGCCGACTGGCACGTTTGAAATATGATGTTGAAATATGATTTTTTTTCAAAACGGCTTATAAGTTTTTTTTTGATATATATGATCAATACATGTGCTGGGATTGACAAATATGCATTTTATTTGGATTTTAAAGGCTTTTTGAGCTCCAAACCCCAAGTGTCTGTGAACTTAATAAGGAAGTAATTTAGTATTGGCATTTCCTAAAATGTGAGGAATCGACGTTCAGTTGAGCTAAAGCTAATGTTTCTTCTTTTAAAAGACATAGTCCGTTTAACATACAATTTGTTTTGATATCAGTTGACCATTATTTCTTTTTTTCGGATCGCACAGAAACGTATTTATGGCGTATTTAAGGACATGTAGATGTCTAAACTCATCCTTGACCTCGATCACATGGCATCATGTATTATTTATAGTGTACTTGGAAAATAAAAGTGGAGCTGAAATCTACAGAAGCCAAATGTGCAGCCATTTCCATTTTATGCTGAAAGTTTAACTTAAATATATTCATGCTACGAAACAAAATCTCTTTTAAATGAAATTTTAGTAAACTAAGCAACATTATAATATTTTCAAGTTTACGCTAAACTCTGAAACGTGTATAAAATTGATTTAGAGGACAAAACGATGGATAAAGCAAAATAAACTGCGTCGTATCCACAAAACGTTTTAAACAATTCTGGTCCGAATTGTAAGTTCACTATAACTTTTGTTTTGCCAAATAGTTCTGCTAGCTATTTATACCAAACATTGTGAAGTGTGTAATAAATATTTTTGGTTTTCAATTATTACCAACACAAAGAATAATTAACAAACAAATATATACCCTTTTCATTCAAAGTTGGCGGCGTTTGTTTACGACGCAGTAAATTTTGTGTACGAAGCATATTGAGGCTATACTCTGCAGAGATTACATTGTTTAACTTCATTTCTCTCTTTTGCATGCAACGGAACACAATATTCTTTGTTGTTCCTTTTAATTTTGCCTAATCTTCAAGTAATACACTCGGAAAAAGTGAGATAACCAATCATTCATGTGTATTTGACTTAACATAAATGTAAAGGATAGTTCTTACCATAATAAAATAAAATGTAAAGGCTAGTTCTTAAATGAAATGTACAGAATAGTTATTTAACTTTTTAGTTAAATTGCTGAGATATTTAAATTCTGTTTAACAGTACTTTCCCCAACAACGAAAAATTACTCTGCATTTCAGATCTCAGTTTATTTTACATACGAACTTACTTCAGCTTATTTTATTCAAAACCTGAGTTGTAATTTTTATCAAAATAGAGAGAAAATAATACCAGGTGTTTACTGTTATCATACCCAACACTTTAATGGTTACTGTTTTCATACATCACACTTTTATTGTCACTGTTATCATACACCACACCTTTATTGTCTCTGTTATCATACAGCATACTTTTATGATTACTGTTATCATACACCATACTTTTATGAATACTGTTATCATTCATCACACTTTTATGGTTACTGTTATCATATAACATACTTTTATGGTACCTGTTACCATACAACACACTTTTATGGTAACATAAACTGTTATAATACAGCACATTTGTATGGGCAATGTAATCATACAGGACATTTTTATGGTCAATGTAATCATGCAGAACATTTTTAAGGTAAATGTTATCACGGAACAAACTTTTATGGTAACGTTAACTGTCATCATACAGCACACTTTTATGGTAACCGTTATCATACTGTACATTTATGGCCACTGTCATCGTACAGCACACTTTTATGGTTAATGTTATCACGCATCACACTTTTATGGTTGCTGTTATCACGCATCACTTTTTAATGGTAACGTTAGCTGTCATCATACAGCAAACTTATGGTAACCGTTATCATACAGCACATTTATGGTCACTGATATCGTACAGCACACTTTTATTGTTACTGTTATCATTCATCACTCTTTTATGGTCACTGTCATCATACAGCATTGTAGTTCTTAACGGCATTTCTTCTTATTTTATAGCCGATATTCGGTCATATTACCAATTGAAAAAAATATAAGTCATTTAGTAAACAGTATTATGTCATGCTTTGTTTTCTAATGTTCAACAAACATCGCTAAAATACCCAATTCCATTGGGTGATGTTCCCAAAATCCTGAAAAAAACGGCTCTTTTAAACAGCACGCATTCCATTACAACGGTTAAATTCTTGGATAGATAGTGTGTATCATAATTCTTAGAACTGATTTGATAAAAGTTTTTATTTTTTAATTATTCTTCAGATGAAACAAGGCAGGATAGACAGAAGAATGGAAACATTTTTCAGAGGTTTTTAGAAAGGCTTTCAGAGAGGAGACGTTATAACCGGATGAAAACAAGTAAGATTTTACTTAAAATACGCTATGCATGTGGTTTTCCAGTATTTGGATAAGTCAAACCTTTGTTAGTGACAACCTCCTATTTAAGACCACACTGTAAATAAAGACCACTTTTGACAAACCTTTATTGAAAAAGTACATTCCGAATAAAGACCTTTTGTCTATAAAGACCATGCACGTTCTCTTTTTGGATGGTGCTTATTTACCAGTTTGACAGTACTGTGTTATAAGCTTGACTGTTCACGGAGAAAAACAATCGAGCTATTGTTTACCTTTTCCGTTCCCGTCCGATACAATATTTTGTTGTTATCATTTTGTTGGAGTTTTACTTACTACAATATTCATCCTTCGAAAACTAAGAAAATTTCGAGCGTGACTCTCTGTCTTCTTGTTTTTTATGTAGACACGATTTCTTCACCTGCAGAATAATAATTACTGGAGATTTGAAATTATTTTACTAGAATGTAACTTTATGTACAGATTGCTTATGTTACATTTTTGTTGTTGCAAAGTTGAGGTGAATTAGCTATATTTTTCAAAATATCAACCATATAAATGGCGAATGACCAATAATAATAATAATAATAGTAATGATGATAATAATTATAATAATACTAATAATAATAATAAGTGTCTTTTCGATTAATGTCTTGCAAAAACAGAAGGACAATCGAAAATCTGCGAAAAATATGTAAGGAATATATTGACCTAACGGAGTAAACACTAAGGACTAAAGCGGCAGACAAAAACCAACGACACGACGGGCATCGATCAATGCCGTTACGTCACTTCATTTTTGGTTTGTTACTGCCCAAAATATATAAAGAATAAGCTGACAGAGCATGATATTTGTCAACGGTTTGGGGCTTAGGTGGCCAAGTGGGTTAAGGTCGATGGCATCATCGCTGTTCGTTCGGATCCCGCGAGCAACTTTAGGCACTTTTTTGTGAAAAAGCTATCAAGCAAGCTTCCGTAACAATTGTGGTTGTGTGTTTGAACATTCGTTGCCCATTAGAAATGCTTCGTATTAATAACCTTGAAAATGTGTACGGTAACTAAACAACACATTGCAAAGCGTATGCGCTTATACTAACTTCCACTGTATTGAAAAAGTGTTAGTCCGTAAGTATGTGTTCGACAAACAGTAATAGAGAATACAGTACTGAATCATATTTGTCACTAAACCTAATATGTGTGAAGGCTACTATTTCTTGAATTCATACAACTTAATACTAGATTTACAGGATAAAACATGTTCTATCTTTTAATATTTATTGTACAGACCTCCCACGATGACAGGTGACATATTTCCCAATTATCCCCTGATAATGTGTTTAATGAATGAAATTCCAGAACAATTAGGGCTAAAAGGTAAACAAAGTAGTAAGATGGGGTAAAAATGATGTTGAAAAACTCTTCAGCAGACCCAAAGTTGTGGTATGTTCGAATCCCAAATTATTCAGAAAATGATTATGTCACGGTATTGAACTGTTGTCTAATCAGGGGAGGTAGTTTGTAGGCGGCCGAATAGCTAAGTCAGTAGAGCCCCAAGACGGTATTACGTGGGTCCCAGGTTCGAGTCTCGGTCGGGCTGCACATTAATCTAGCCCTGTGACAATTATATAGACTTTAAAAAAATGGAGGTGTTTCAATCATTACAAAATGACCCTGTTACAGTAAGGTAATCAAAAGTACCATTTAAAAAAAATGATACTAGTTCGTGGACAGAAATATGTGACATAATTATGTGCTCGTTTACATATATATGAATAAGTAAGTAAAAGTAAGTAAAAGTAAGTAAGTAAGTAGCGAAAATTACGTAACGTTACGTAAGTAACGTAACGTAAGTACATAACGTAAGTAGTGTAACGTAAGTAACGTAACATAAGTAACGTAACGTACGCAAGTAAGTAAGCAAGTAAGCAAGCAAGTAAGTAAGTAAGTAAGTAATTATGCAAGTAAGACAATGAGTATGTATGTAAGTGAGTAAGAATATAAATAATAAGAAAGTAATCATCGGTCAGCCAGTCAAAAAAAAAAAAAACATAAAAAAAAATATTAAAAAGATCACCAAGGAAGGGCGGCATTAATTGAACGCATCCCAAACAACACGGGACCACCTGCATATTGTAAAATAAACCTGCAATATGTCATGTTTATCTTTCGTGTCCATAAATTATGAAATAAAACAAATTTGTGTGTCGTATTTGTATATGATAAAAATAAACATGGGTAATGAACCTTAAATGTCATAACACTAGAAACACTAACAGGTAGCATATATGAAGATTGTGATGGTGTACATAAATTTGTTACCCACTGGTCCCTACCAGGGCTCTTGTCTCCGCTCCTCCCAGCCTCCGAGAAATCGTGCAAACTATATTTTAGCCTAGCTACGCCCCTGAAAGTTGAGGCCTTATGAAATCATGTTTTCCTTCATTACCGGAACCGATAAATTGATGTAATAAAAGTACCTTTTCGTGACAATGTATTATTTTCAGTTCTTAAAATATTACATTGCTTTTACCACTGTGTGTCTGCTACCTTCTAATTATCGCATGGTTTGTAACGTTTCCTTTGTTCTTACTAACCCATTATACTCCGTACACTTCAATGAGCATTTGAAAACTGTATTGATATATTACAGTACATTTTTCATTGATTCATATAGGAAATAAACGCGACTGTTATATAACGGTTGAGTTTTTTTCGCACCTTGTATATATCAATGTAGTTTTTGCACAGAGGCTCCAATGGGACAGTGGTCACGAACATTCCAAGTAGCAAAAATAAAATGGAATCAATGAAATAAAATAGATAAATAAACACAATGAAAAATATAAACAAAGATAATTAATGAAATAAAATTTACTCTCATTTAATCAAAAGGTACATCCGCGGAACGAATTATTTCCACTGAAAAAAGCCCTTTAATCTTAAATCAATATTGGTAGCAGTTTACAATCCGCCTCTAACATTGGAAGTCTTTTGTATATCTTTTTTTGCGGCAGCGAAAACAACCTGAAAAATATGCGTTATCATAAATAACTGTAATGTAGCTAACGATTTATTTATTTATTTATATATAAATTTCTATTACAAACAAAGAAAACATAATGCCATTGCGATAAAACAGTTAGAGTATATGAAACTCGTTAGTTACAAGGTTATAACACTGGTTGGGCGACATCTCAGGATGTTTCTGCAAAAAATTGTCTCGGCCTAACGACCTCGCCATTTATTTGCAGAAACATCCCTTGATGTCGCCCCAGCCAGTGTTATATCCTCGTAACTAACTCGTTTCATGTACTATAACTATTACATAGTAAGCACCCACTTACCTTTTATCCTGGATACGCCCCTGTAGCTTTGCTTGTCAAAAATAATAGATTTCTATTTATAGATACATTATGTTTGTTTCAGTTGTCCGCGCATTTTCACAAGTGATGGGACATTCTTTTAAAAAAATTCTATTTTTCTGCTTTTGATCAGAATTCTTAAGTACTATAATGGTTAGAAAATGGTAAGATTTTAATTTATTGAAATTTGATTAAATTATTTTCTAAATGTTGTGAAAAATGTGTAAACAGCATCTTCTTTGTCACCTAAGTGATAGCAGACGACAATTTATTGTTTTCAATTTTACCTTTAATTCAATATACTGCAGTTGATTGTTTCATATATGGAACATGTGTTATTATAGTTCACTGTGATTAACGGTGTCGATTAGATATTTACTATATCCAATTTTGTTTATATATGAAGCTGAAAAAAGTCAAAGTTTAGTCTTTGCTTGAGTTCAAGCTAACAGGTGGCTTGAGAAGGAAAGGAGTAGTGGGGGAAGGTGATTTTGTAAAATCTATAGCTCTTTCGTATGCTCACTTTATAACTTAGTGACGTAGCAATTCATAATAATGTCAACTTTGGGCCGTTCTGTATCTTGACAAACTACTGTAAGTACATGTACGTATTGTCAATAATGTAATGTTATGTATGCAACATATTACATGTATATAGTTTATCTCTGACAAGTGAGTATTTCCAATATTATTATTGTTCTATTTTTAGAACGTATAACTACATATGTGTAAATAAGATTTAACAAGAAATTTCTTAAAGTTCTGTTGTAGAAAATTGTAGATTATGATTCATGCATTATATTTAGATAGAAATTTCCAGATTATTCTTTATTGTTGAAGGTGATAGAATATGATTACGGTAGAACATGGACTGTTCTGGAATGTTCTTAGCTTATATATAAGGGGACATTTTTCATTACTTTTATCTTTTAAGTCATCAGTTACATTTTAAGTCATCAATACATTTGGAGTATCATTCAACTTGGATATTAAATAATTTATTGGAGCTTGGATTTTAAAATAGATTAAATTATTCTTGTGGATTTTATTGTGGGAATTTATTCTAAAGTGTTCTTGGATTTAACTTGGATTTAACTGTGCTATTCAAAAAAGGATCATTCCAGGATCAGACAAGACATTTGAGATTTATATTTTTTATTTGGACTCTATGTATTTGTAAACATAAATTGTTCTTTAATTTTTCTTTAATAATTTTTCTGTAATAAATTTGTTATTGTTACAAGTTTGTTGCTGGCTTTTCTTTCTCGTTACGCCTGGCTCGTAACAGAACTTTGGGGCTCGTCCGGATTGAATATTTCTCTTGGCTACATTATTGGAAATTATTACCGTTTATTTTACATTTTATTATTACCGTATTTACTAATTTGAGTTGATATCATAGTTGTTCTATTAAGTGTGCCTTTTAATTCTGAAATTTTTCAAATACACCACTTTAGAAAAGTTTGTAGCTGAACCTTCCCTGGAGGTATTAGATTTGGCTAACAAAACTGATTTGCTTGATCTTGCAAAAAAGTATAATTTATCAGAAATTAAATTTGCCATGCGTAAACAAGAAATTAAAAATCTTCTGATTCGTTATTTTGTGGATGAAGATATTTTTTGAGAAGATGCACTTTCTCA